TTTTTGTCGATGTTGCAAGCTTCTAGTTGATCGTTAGACGCAGTGTGGTGTCATTCAGGTTCTACTTTGTTGCTGGATTTCCGTTAAATCACATTTTATAGTTGTGTGGGCTGACAGATTTTCTAGTGAGTTGAATTTGGAATTTCGAGGCCAAATGTTCTTCTGGGTGGACTATAGTTAATGGGTCTCCGAGGCATCCGGTTTCAGATTCCTTAACCCTGCTTATTCTGCTCCGTTTATTTCTATATCGTCCGAGTTAATTGGTGATCCTTTTGTTCAAGGGTCATTGTAGGGTAGTATTCGCCCCACATGAACGATATCAGTGTTTTTATTTCATTTCATTTATTTCAAATCAACAAGAATATAAATTCACAATAATTCATAACAAATGTGTTGTGAGCAAACAAATGAACCTAAAGGTTTGTGTGTGTATGCTCTAAGAAAAACTATATATGCATCATATTATTGGCTTAAGATTATCACAAGAGAAAAAATAAATAATAATACGTTATTCTAAGTGAAACAACAATACAAAAAATCACAATTATCATTACTTAATTCAATAGCGGAATAAGTATTAACTTATTCTCAGAGATCCAGGAGTTTATTTTCTTTTTGGATTTGTTATAACATTTATTTTTAAATTCATTTGGAAGGACATTATAGATCTTGGGACCGACAAATGCAATATGTTTTTGAGTTTTAGTATAGTGCATTCTAGGTATAATAAGTTCACCCGCATTCCTTGTGGCAACATTTGTACTTTTGTAGGTTCTGAAGATATCATATTTGACCATAAATCGAGCCAAAATTTTGACAGTGAGCAATTGTAAGGAAAGCAGTTCAGCATCACTAAATAGGGTAATGGAGGAATAAAGTCTATCCTTAAATAAAATTATTTTTACTATGTTTTTTTGTATCACATTAACTGGTTTGAGAGCTTTTTTAGACGCAAGGCCCCATACAACCAATCCATATCCTAGGACAGATTCAACAAGAGAATGATACACCATTTTAATAGTTTTTTGCTTAAGGATTTGCCTAAGTTGTAGGAATTTATACAGGAGCTTTCTTAGTTTACTCGTCACATATTCAATATGTTTCTCATATTTTAAACATTGATCAATAAAAACTCCTAAATACCTTACACAATCTTTCTTTTTGAGTTTAGTTTTACAGTTACATTCTCCTGCCAAAGCACATCCCACAACATGGACTGTCAGGCATTCCTGGGTTGGCTGAGTCGCCCCTGTCTTAGTGAATGTGACAAAATTTGTCTTTTCTGTATTAAGGGTCAATGAACTTATATCCAACCACTGCTTAACATCATTAATAGCTTTTTCAGCCTTTGTATATGTCTCATTCCAGGTGGCAGAACTGATCAACAACACCGTATCATCAGCAAAGCAGATAACTTTTGCATGTTTTGTTATTTTAGTTATTTCATTTATGTAGATAGTAAAAAGGACAGGTCCAAGGACTGTTCCCTGTGGCACACCAAACTCCGCCGTGAATGCTTCACTAAGTTCGTTTTCTATTCTGACTTTCTGAGGCCTTTCACTAAGGAAAGATTTGAATAGCTGCAAATATTTTCCTCTTTCACCAACATCATCCAGTCGTTCCAACATTATTTGGTGTGACACAGTGTCATTTCTTGCGCCTATTTTTCCCATCTCGTAATCCACGTTCCCCGTTTTCTACTTGTAATTATTCTCTACTCTTGAGGCCTTGGATATTTTTTCTAGAGGCCCTCAAGAGCCGGTAATAGCTTCAAATTTAATAATTAAGTACCGTCAAAACTTTTGAGGAAATCAAATATATACCTGGCAATATGTCCGACGCATTTGAGCGATAATCATATTTATTCGACTCAAGGGTTGTCACAAATCTTACTCTATGGAATTTGGAGGGTCCCAAATAATCATGTAAAGACAAAATCGTTAAATATAAAGAGGAAATTATTTACTTTTTGACAAAAGTTGGATTTTCAATTTACATAAAAAATTACTATAACCGAAAGAAAGGATTTGAGACACACTACTTAAGCTTTGAAAAATGCAAAATGACTACTTACATTAATTATAATAAATTATATTCTCGATTATATTATAATGGGAATTTTGTTAAATATTTCCAATCAGAATACTTGAAAAATTCCTTATTGTTGAAGGCTCTTGGCCGTAAGAAACAAAAATTCATTATTTTGGGCACTGCTGCCATATTATCAAAGAAAATAAAGTAATTAACTAAGAAGCTGTCAATTGTGAAATTAATATTGATTCTTATAGGATGAACACTAGGTTATAGCGAACCCCTTGAAGGTTTAATATTTAAGCAGATTTTACTCTAATTGGAAATTTAATTAGATAAATAGTTTTTTTAATGTTGAAGTTAATTTCAAATATTCTCTTGTTCCAGTTTATGAAAAGTTGACTAAATTTTGTTGGCATAGATTTAAAATCTAAACCAGAAATTTTAAAAAAAGTCTGTGCCTATCTTTCTAGTATTTTATCAGTCGAAAAGTCTGGCGTATTTCCTTTTTTATCACAGAATCCTCGATTTATTCATACTAGCACGATTTTCGGGGACAACCAGCTTTCAGTGGAATCTAGATTGATATTTTAACGTGAAATTTATTTTTGTCGCCGCACCGCCACGATTTTAAGAATGAAAGTTCAATGACTGAACGTGAGTGTTTCTCTTCCATCTGTTCCATATTTGACTGTGTTTTATTGATTTCATGTATTTTAAAAATTTTATATTTTATTGGAAAATTAAGTGAATATTAGATAATTTGTATTATTGCCTGTGAATAAATAATTTTTTGTCCATCATAATTTTGTATTATACTATGAATGCAATGAATTTTGACTTAATATTATTATATTAACATCATCATCATAATTCATTTATTGGTTAAGTACTTCCATTTTAAACTCAAACATTATTGATGGAAAATCTATCTGATGAAATTATTATTCAAGAAAAGCTACGTCAGTAGCCAATGAAAATATAAGCAAAGTTTCCATTGTCAATGAAAATTAGTTCCTAAAAATCATTTAGGTACAGTAATTTTGTTCAATAAAATTTTATCCATTAAATTTAATACTCAATGTCAAACAAATATAAAGACAAATTAACTAGCGAGACGCATAATGCGTGGCAACTAATGATTGTTCCATCTATACTACTTGAGGCCTGATTATGGTCATTAAAGTTTATACATTTCAAATGTGAGAAGCGTTCCGATGACAATACAAGCAGGATTTTTTTCCGTCGTGAAGATCCTGTTTACAGACAAATTTTTAGCTGTAACTGTAAAATGAGATTTTTCGAGTGTTTTTAATGAGTCAACAAGTTCATTAACTCATTAAAATCAACCAATGAAATATTGCTGGAAAAAAATTATCAACTTTTCATATTTTTGTTTAATGTGCTCAGTATAACTCAAAATATTATTTTTCTCCAAACGTCAGAAAAACGTCACTTTGTTAACTCCTGTCAAGATGTCAGAAATTTGATTTCTATGCTGCTAGGCAAATCAAGCGTGTGAACACCTGTCGAGGTGATAGAAATTCAATTTCTATGCTGCTTGGCAACCCCAGCGGCAGCAAAAGTACTTTTAGTGCCGCTGGAGCGGCAGTAGAAGTACTTTTGGTGCCGCTCGTACTTTTACTGTCGCTCAACCATCCACTTGCCCCCGAGCTTACCCCATTCGTTTGGAGAAAAAATAGCGTGTTGCATACGGAGTAGAAGCACTTTTTTGTGCTTCAGCAGTATTGCAAGCCTCACTACGTTCGGCTTGCAAACCTACCGCTTCAGCACAAAAAAGTAAAGCTTCTACTCCTAATACAACAATATACTATTTTTTTTTTAACAATAAACCTTTTGTGATTAATATTAGCGGTAATTAGATAATGAAACTTTATTCAAATAAGTAACTTTTCATCTAGCTAATACATAGAATTTTTCTATAGCCAATTAAAATTGTAACGGTCGTCCTATTTAAAAGCAAAACGGTGAAGAATTATCAGAAATCGTAAAGCTGAAGGTTTTGCACCATTTTTTAATGCCGTTGATTGGATTTTCTGAAAGAGTGTCTGCTAAAAATACCCTGAAAGTGGATTATATTGATTGCTCTAGTTAGTTTTTTTTAGCAAAGTTGCCGTTCAGGGTTTAATTAAACTTTTGCCATATTTTCAAAATTGTAATATTATAATTAGGTTAATTTTTTGCCGAAAATTTAATTAACTATTTCCAGTTATCATCATTCTAATGGGAAATATCCCAAAAATATCTTGTTTTTTAGTAGGTGAATATTTTCAGGTGTTATATGAGAAACACCAGTTATTATTCTGTAAATTTTTGTATGCAAACAATTTTTATTTGACCATAGAAAAAGAATCTCTTGCCTTGAAGATGATGATTAAGTCTATTCAAATAACTGTTTTTGGTGAAGTACATGTAATGAATATAAACAATTAATCCATAGAGGAATCAAGGTAAATTAGACAATGAAATGTTCTTATTTTATCTACAAATAACTAAGATATCTAATTATCATATTTATTATATACTGTGTGCAGAATAAAATGAAGATAGAATTGGAATTAGTGAGTCAGTAATTTCGAAAGCTATTGGAATAATTAATATAAATAATATTATAACAATTAATTCATGACCATACAATCTCAACGTCTAATACATACTTACATGAATGCATGAGACATAATTTTATCCAGTTTATCTTTAATTAACTGTATCCCGCAAAAAAAAACACGATCCATTTAATATAAAAAAAATCCTATCTTTACAAAATTAATTAATTAATTAACGGCCTTAAATATTTACCTAAAGTATATTTTAAATTACCGTACCGGTATAAAATTAGCAATTAGCTAATGCACGTCCTTTGGGGGCTTTGTATATTCAAACAACAGAAGGTAAAGAGTGTGTTCGACGGCCTCACATCGATCAGCACCAATCGTGGTTGTTTTAAATTGATTTTGACCAATCGGGGCTTTGGTTTGTGTTCAAAAAATCACTTAATCACTTAGAGCGTTTAGTTTCAATGGAAAGTAATACATACTTTTATAGAGGGGAACGATTTTTATGTCTATAGATAGTTTGGTTAATTTATTTAGTGGTGATAGCATGTTTATATTGTGTCTAATAGGATTATTTATGGAATTGTTGAAGGTATATTTTGCTTATTAATATTTAAAGAAAAATCCGGCATACCTATGTATATGGAAATAAAAATTGAAAAACCCTGTTATTTGTACCACATAGCAAATCAAGTTAAATATTCAAATCATAATTATTATTATCAAAAATAAATTATGATTCTAGGTATGTTCACAACTTAATTAAAAAGTTAATGATAATGTTCTTATATTTCAGCCAAAATAAATTTGTTTATCACATAATTACCAAAATTATTGTCAATTTATGTTTAATATACCAAAAATAAATATTGTTTAAAAAGTGAAATTTAGCTGTGACAACATAACTTTTTCTTTAAATAATATACGAAAGCATTACAAAATTACCATTTTTGTTGACACATTGAGTAATATTCTTGAACAATCAATTATTGATATTTAATATTCAATTTTATCATACACGATTAAAGTGAGAAATAAATGATGGCAAAAATCCTTTCTGGATAAATTGGTCATTGTTTTTTTTGGATCTTGAATTTTGGCTTGAAGCCACTTGGAATACCAGCAAAAATATTCATGTACCCTTGAATGATTGCATGAAATTTGCCATCAGTGCTTATTGGTCAGTGTCACGTCAGTGTCAAACAAATTAATTTGTCATCTTTTCTCTGGTCATTATTTTTACTACATCGTGAGCCTAAACCTACACCATTTCCAAATTCAAGCGGCAGTAAATGACATTTTAGTAACTTAAATTGTAAACAAAAATTAGCCTTCCTATTGGTTGAAACGCCCTACCTGGACTAGTGCGCATACACGGAGGACATTTGATAGGTTGTAATGAAAATGACCAGTTTGTCATTTACTGCCGCTTGGATTTGGAAATGGAGATACTCGCAAAAAATAGAAAACATTGAAGCACAAGAGAACGAGGAAATACTAGAACATATAGTTCATACCAAATAAACTTATAGTCGGGTTGTCAAGCTCGGCCGGCACAGCGTTGCCGTCTCTTCCATATTTTCCTTTGGTCAAAATATTTTCAGAAACAATAATAATGGATTATAAACATTGCTCCAAAGCTTGGTTTTATAGATATTTAATATCAACTCAATTGTCAATCATCACATAAAATATAATAATAACGCTCAGTACCTATTTTATTTACAGCCACTCTAAATACTATAAATATCTTATTAAATATTCTGAATATTTGATCCATCAAGAAGATTTTCAATTATTCTGGATCACTGAAATAGCTGAAATCGCTAGAGTCTTCATCAATATTGATAAGTGGAAGAATGTATGCTATTGAAGTGGAAGAACGTATGCCATATGAGCATTGTCTATAACAATGACAGATGGTTCACTCAAGTTCTTCAACAGCTGATTTTCGAACCAACATAAAAAGTTTTGCTGATTAATTTCTTCATGATAGTCGTTAAGTTGAGTTTTCGATGAATATACAAGCGATGTACCTTCAATGAATCCATTTTCAGTGCCGGCATGAAGTAGGTATGATATATTTAGAAAAAGCATTTCTTTGTACATATAATACACTGCTCTCTGTATTCATGTTTATATTTACCTATACCGTCAACTTTGGTAGTTTTAACACTTCGCTTGTTGTTGTCTTCCCACGGTTAATAGTACCATTTTGAAAAATCCAAGTCTCGTTCAAGAAAACAAACTGGTACAAAGCCTCCTGTTTCAGTCTTAAATAAGACCTTAAAAATGATATGCGTTTAACAGCAATATCAGAGACTTTATTCTTGAAACCGAGGAACAGCGTTCTCGTGAGAACGATTGCTTTGTCATTGTCAGTGTTATGGAAATATGAATACGGACGACGAAGACAGAACCTTCGTTCTCATGAGAACGCTGCTCCCCTGTTTCGAGAATAAAGTCCCAGGAAGTTCCATGAGCCCTCGTCTCGGGTCATCTTTTTTCCATTTGAAGCCTATTTCTTTTAACATTCTACTCAATGGCCAATTGCTCCCATATACAGGATAATGTTACATGTTGTTCTACAAGAAGAAAGAAGGCGATTCATAGATATCTATATGTACCTTTGTCTCAAACGATTTACTTTTTATACACATATCGTAAATAGTGTTATGTATAGCACTGCTATCGAGCTTTGAAACATCACAGACTCTCTTATTCGAAGTGCATCGTTTCTTAGAAGGCGATTCCAAATCTTCGTTATTTTTGACTGCCTTCGAAATAGCACAGACAGTGGACATACTTAAGTTCAAAGCCTCTGCTACTCGCTAAAAATGAGAGAAAGTTCAAATTAAAAATTCGTATTTGGTCACACGACATCAACAACTTATTTATTTATTTATTTATTCATTTATTTACGTATAAGAAAAATACATTTGAAGTTGAACAGAGTTTAAATCTAAATAAAAAAAAAAAAAAATCTAACCTAAAACAATTCTCCTGGCCTTCGTCTTAAATTTATCCAGAGATAAACCAAAGAACTCAAGGCCCTCACAGAACTTATTTACATTGGCAGATATTCTATTCACAGGACTGAATAGTAGGTACCAGGTTCGACAGTAAGGAATGTGCAGTAAAGATTTACTTCGTGTCTGATAACTTTGAATGTGTAGATTAAAACATTCAAGACATTCGTGGCTTTTTATGTAGTAGTTAAGAATTTTAAATGCAAAACAGACATCAAAATATTCCCTTCTGCGAACAAGAGTAGATAAGTCTAAATAAGTCATAGTCAGGTCCTCACTGAGAATTACACCACTCAAAGAAAGTTTGTACCTTGCAAACTTAATAAATTTGTGTTGAACACTCTCAAGCCTATTGATGTGGATCTGATAGTAACGTGACCAAACTATGCATGAAAATTCAAGAACGGACCTGACCAGTGATGTGTAAAGAATTTTGATAGGGTGTATACTTGTAAAGTCCCTAGTAGCTCTCTTAATAAACCCCAACATTTTATTAGCCCTGCCAATTACCACTTCAAAATGCTCAGTGAACATTAGCCTAGTATCTAGATAGACACCAAGATCTTTAATGATAGAAACTTCAGACAAGCGAACATTGTTTAAGTAATACTGCAAGGGAACACTATGGGTGCGTCTACTGAATCTTATACAACAGCACTTATCGATGTTGAGGGACATGTAATTAAGCTGACACCAATCGTGAACGATGTTAAGATCATTTTGCAAAATAAGTATGTCTTGAGTTGACGTCACCTGACGATACAACTTCAAGTCATCAGCAAAAAGTAAAAAATTTGACGAGAGCAACGATCCTAAATCGTTGATAAATAAGCTGAATAGAAGGGGGCCCAAGTGAGAACCTTGGGGTACCCCAGAGGATGCATGGAAAAGAGAAGAAAGATAGCCATCGATCTTGACTTGTTGCATTCTGTTAGTAAGGTATGATTTCATCCATGAAAATAAATGTCCAGAAACGCCGAAACTTGAAAGCTTTGAAAGAAGGATGTTGTGATTTACCTTATCAAAGTCTTTACTGAAGTCAGTATATATTGCATGAGTTTCTGCATTATTAGCAAATGATGAATTTATGAATGTTGTAAAGAGAAACAGGTTCGTCTCAACGGATCTACCGGCTGTAAAACCGTGCTGTTGACTGATCACAATCTGATGAAATATTTTTGAAAGAATTCCTTCCACGCACTGCTCAAATAATTTTGGAATCGCAGACAGAATGCTGATGGGTCTGTAATTTATTACATCATTTTTGCTGCCTGACTTGTAAATAGGACAAACGTAGGAGAGCTTCCATATTTCTGGAAAAATTCCAGAAGATAATGATTTGTTGAAAATATTAAACAGAGGAAGATACAAAGTGTTAGAACAAGATTTTAGTACTTTGTTGGGAATACCATCAGGTCCTGCAGACTTGTTGATGTCCAATTGCGTTATAGCCCTCTCAATATCTGTTGGATCTATGACAATGCTTGAAACATTCTCAAATCGATCAGCAAAGGTTCCAGCGTCGGAATTTCTCTGAGGGTTATAGACGGAGGAGAAATAGACAGCAAAAAGATTAGCTATGTCAACACCGTTGGACGCCTTTTCTGAGGCAAGAAACATTTCGTTAGGAATAGTACCCTGATTAGATTGGGAGTGAATAAAGTTCCAAAAAATTTTCATATTGGTGCCTATGGCTCTTTCAGTATCACTTATGTATAATTTATAGCACTCTTTGGTGAGGTTTTTACAATCTCGCCGAAGTGTACTAAATGCAAAGTAATCCAAACCTCTATTCGACCGCTTGAATCGTCTGTGAGCAATTTTCTTTTGAAAAATCAGATTTTTCAATTCATTAGAGAACCAGATAGGAAATTTCTCGCTGTAAGAATGTGCCTTTATTGGAACAAACATATTAAAGCAGTCGAACAGTACCAAGTAAAAGCTCTTAACAGTTTCGTTTAGATCGTCCATCATAATGGATCGCCAATCAAAGGAAAGAAAATATTCATTAACCAAATCAAAATTGGCATTTTTAAAGTCATAAGAAAAATAATTAAGAGGCTTCAGAAATTTAGCTTGAACAACAGGTATGGAAAACTCTAGAGCTGGGTGATAACGATCACATCCCACCAGACCGTCAGATGTTACAAGTGAAATAGGCCCAAAGTTGGCAAAACATAGATCCAGGATTGAACCATGATCGTTAGCCACCCCATTGTATTGAGACAGATTAAGAGAAGCAGTACTATCACATAACAATATTTCCTTAGTTGTCCTTACATTTCCAGGTAATAAACCCGAGAGATCCTCACTAGTGGACCACGTTATTTGGGAAAGATTATAATCTCCAAGAACAAGCACATTATCAAACATTTCACAGGCACTAGCAACTGATTTCAAATGGTTTTCATAATGGAGCACATCCATGGTAGGTGGAATGTAGACACAGCCAATACAGCCACCCAGCGTAACAGACACCCACGTTTCCTCGACCGATGCTTCACCAATTGACAGGCGATGAGATTTTAGGCAATTATTTACTGCCAAAAGGACCCCACCTCCA